CAGTACTCCAATTTAACCTTTAATATCCACAATATTTAAGTTTCAGGTAACCCAAATTTCCTTTGTCTCACTACATAAAAGTCATAATATCTAAAATACACATATTACTTACTTAAATATATTATTTTAATTCATAAACATTTTCTATTTCTCATCCTAGTACATCACCACAATAATGGAATATCCTTTGTTATCTCAAGTCCATCATCTATATTGTCTGGGCTAAACAAAGATGATTAGGGGACTGGAGGCTAAAGCATATAAGGAAAGGTTGATGGAATTGGGTATGTCTAGTTTAACGAAGAGAAGGATGGAGGGGGGACATGATAGCAGTCTTCCAATATCTCAGGGGCTGCCCCAAAGAAGAGGGAGTCAAGCTATTCTCCAAGGTGCCTGAAGGCAGGACGAGAAGCAACGGATGGAAACTAATCAAGGAGAGAAGCAACCTAGAACTAAGGAGAAACTTCCTGACAGTGAGAACAATTAACCAGTGGAACAACCTGCCTCCAGAAGCGGTGAATGCTCCAACACTGGAAGGTTTTAAGAAGAGACTGGACAGCCATTTGTCCGAAATGGTATAGAGTTTCCTGCCTGAGCAGGGGGTTGGACTAGATGACCTCCAAGGTCCCTTCCAACTTTACTACTACTACTACTACTACTACTACTATTATTATTATTATAATTTAAAGTTATTTCCTAATAATTAGTTTTCATTTCCCTTATAAGTCCAAGTCCTCAACATTACGCCAATTAATCCCTTATTTTTTTTTTATTATTTTCCAACAATTTTTAAATCTAATAATCAAATTTCCCCTCATCTTAAAATCTCCCTTTAGCCCACAATGGGCCCGTTTTCAAAGCAAACGGATAAAAGGAGCAGAGAGAGCCAATAGATCTCTATTTTCCCTTCCATTCTAGAAGATCACTGATTTCTGTTTGTCCAGACAAAGGCTAAAAAAGTCCTACTTAATGACTTTTGCAAGGCCAGCTAAGACGATTGCTAAAAGGATGCTTGATGCAGATACAAGAAACTCTTCCAAATTGGTGCCCCCCATAAACCCCACAACAGTGTTTCAGCATTACTTCCTGAGGTTGTACTTTGAGACACCTAGTGGTGGAAAAGCTCTTGGAAAACACAAGTTCTCCTTTGAAAGGACCGTCCATTTTGTGGAAGAAGAGCCTTCGGGCTTATCTTCCAATCATCTGAGGGCACAGAGCGCTCTCCACAAGAAATTAGTTCTGCAAAGACCAGACAGGCATTTCTTTCCAGCTTAGCCAGGCCAAAGACCCACAGAAGTTTATTCTCCTCTATCTTTCGGTGGTCATCCTTGTTCAGCCCGGAGTTCTCCTGAAAATCATGAGCTGGCATGGTCCCACAGTAGAAGCTATTTTAGTGTTTTTTTTCCCCTCATAGCTTTCCACTTTTACCAAATTGTGAAAATTAAGTTTCTCCATGTGAAATAACTGGATAAATAAACCAGATTCCTTTCAGCGTTATTTCAGTCCTGGGACCTGTGAATTGTTTTAAATTCGTTTGCTGTTACACCTTCTCCCAAGAAGCTTCCCCAAAAAATCTATTTTTATTTCACGTCTCCCTTCCTTCCTTTTTAAGTTCATTGGGTTGACCATCTTGGATGGCCTTGGAAAGTATACAGTCTCTTACGAAAAAAATACGAATAACTGTAGAACTGCTTCTAGAGGTTCCTTGTTTATCATCACGATATCACCATAGTTAACTAATTGTAGTGTAAACACAATTTAAGTTTATCAGATGTGGGATGCAAAAATCTGGCTAAACTCTAGAAGGCAACAAAGAATTGCAGACTTTTTGCTTCCATCTAATCTAATGCAATCTGGAGTTTCACGGCACGAGTATCATATGTGTAGGTAACTGGCACGGAGGCTATTGGACCTAGAACGTGTGTTCACACATCTCTGTGCTAAGATTTGTTTCAATCAAATATCCCACAAAAGCTAAGAAAAATAAACCCCAAAGAAATAAACTGCCTTCAAAATGGGACCTAGCCAGGCCTTCCTTCTCGCTGCAGATCTTGACCATCACATGTTAGCTGTTTGGAATATTGGTTGGCGGTTCTGGCAAATACTGTCCAATTCAAAAGATTGGATTGGACTTCTGTGCATACATTATGCTGGACTTATTTTGCATGGGTTTATTTATTTATATTGCTTAGCTCTCCCTATTGCTCACGGATGGGCGTTTCATTAATCAAGAATACGTTGATTTTTATAACGATTTAGAGTATAGAATCTTCTGTTGTACTGCAAGAATCATTGCTGGGTGTGCTTCTGCATTATCAGCATAGTCTGGCAGTGGCTCTACTGCATTGCAGACCAGACTCTATACCATTCTCATTGGGGGATATCAATCTAAGGTCTTTTGTGCACAAAGGTTCTGTTCTACCAGTTCTCCAGTCCAGATTTTAATGGAATATTTGCTCTGAAGTGCTTTTTGGAATCATAATGATTCTTCCTCATGTCTGTGTCAGTGTGCATTCCTCCTGACCTTGAAATGTCAGAAAAGTAGGCCAACAGACATTACACAGGAACAAGCTTGTGATTGATGCTGACGTTACAGTTCCAATGCAGGACAATTTAAGGGCAGGGTTTTTGCAGATTCTTCTGGCTGTGTTTCCTCTTTCAACCAGCTTCATGGGCCATAAAGAAAAGCAGTCACCAGCTGCTTCCTTGGCGTGAGGTTAGGTGGACTTGAGTACCTGGGGTTAAAGAGCATTCCAAACAGGTTGTGAGAATTGCTGCAGTGTGCCTTTAAAGTGTGCTTTGCTTTGCGTCCGAAAGTGCAATATGTGCAGACCTTGGAAAGAAATATTTTACACTGATGCGTTAAATGGAAACAAACGGAAAATCAATGATACAAAAACGCAAAATAGGAAGAAAAGGAAAAGGGGAGGGAAAACCTATGCACAATCCTAACAATACAAACATCATTTATATCCATTTTCAAAGGAATACCCTGATAAAGCGGATGTGTTTAGGAGTGATAGGAACATTACCTTCAAGTCAAATTATGGCCAAATTGAGAGCACAAGTAGAAAATTGAATTTTCTAAAACTAAAATTGTGTAAGATGGCTTCACTTCCCCCCCTCCCCTCCCGTGTAAAACAGGCCTCATACTCAAATGTTTGTTGCAGTCCAAGAGTTTTATGGTACACATAAAAACAGGCAGAGCTTCAGTTGCCTCATTGTGACTGTCACCGATTTTTTTTTTAATTGTATCCAGCTGGGGAATTCTGGGAATTGAAGTTCACAGTCTTAAATATGCCAAATCTGAGAAATACTGCCATAGACTAAGGTAGAGGTAGGCAACCTCAGTTCTTTTATGACTGGTGGACTTCAACTCCTAGAATTCCTGAGCCAGCCGTGCTGAGGGGAAAGGGAGAGGTTTCCATGCTGAGCCATGCTGGCTCAGGAATTCTGGGAATTGAAGTCCACGTGTCATAAAAGAGCCGAGGTTGCCTACCCCTGGACTAAGGCATAGGCCCAACACAGAAGCCTTTTTGTAAACTATATCAAAGTCCCTAGTGGGTAGAAAATAAAAGAATACTATTAAACATAAATCCATTAAAGAAACAACTATTCTTAAAATCAGATCTACTTTCAGCATTTTATATTTGGCCCTTTTCACTGTACTCATAACATCAATATTTACTAGGTTGGTGTTGAATACCGTAATAAGCATAACCTCCTCAAATTTCATCATCTGAAACTTGGCAAGATTTATCCTCTCTGAAGAGACAAGCGTGGCTAAAAATATTTCCAATCCTGCCAAGAAAGAAACATAATATTGGCAGTTAAAGGGAAAAAAAATAGTTTAGTCTTCAATTTGGCATAGGACAACTTCTCAAAAAAGGCTACGTTTACTGCAAATCTGGGTCAATTTCAAATTCGTTTAAGAGAGAAGCAGCTAAAACGGATGGGAGCCGTTTTTCACACGAAAACCGGCAATTTGGCGTCTTCAGATGGAGACACAAGGCAGAGTTTGAATCGGGTTTATGACAGGAGCCCCGAGATGCATCTATTTTGAAGTTTATCGCCCTAGGCATCCAGTCTCAACCACCACCACCCCCCCCCAAAATGAAAAGGGTAAAATATTGCATTGCGACGCCACAATGCAAGCTCCACCCTTCCCTCCGCGTCTCACGTCGTCACAACATTGCACACCGGTATATAAAAGGCGGAAATTGTGTAGAGACAGCCAAGGCATTTGTGATTTGCAAAGAAGAGAGTAAGTACAGTGAGCAGCTCTCGAGTTAGCTGCATTTCCGCATTCCTGCTTTTAGCCTCTTTTGCTCAACGCTTTATTCTTTCCCTGTGATTTCAATAATACGGTCGAGAAGGGGAACCGAAGAGAGAAATCTCAATTTATTTATGAATGACGTTGATAGTAAAGGGAACATATCCTTATAGTAAAGTACTACATTGGCAGGGTGAGAAAAGATGCTCACTCAGACCAGCCCACGTGGCCTCTGTCCCCTGCAAGGCAATGCGCACAGTTTAGAGCCCCTCCCTTTCGCCACCTAGCCCCGCCTTTTGGGAACCAAACGATCCAATCGGTGGAAACGTAAGTTAAAGGACGACTCCTTTAATCCCTCATCTTCGAGTCGCTCTTTTCTGTATTACGGCTCGCGAATGGACGAATGCCGGAGCCACGGGGGTTGAAGGCGGAGGCTTTTTTTTTCTCCCCTCCCCTCCCCCTCCTGCTTTGTTGGCGATCGGCTCGGAGAGCTGTCAATCTGTCTGGGGAAGTTTTCTATTGGCTCACTCAAGAAAAAAAAAAAAGCAAGCCGGAAAGGCGGGGACTGCGCCTCTTCGCCGAGGCTATAAAAGGCTGAGACAAAGGCGGCCTCGAGGCCGTTTTTTCTAATCTCTGCGTCTGGCGCCATTTTGTCCTTAGTCGGACTCCGAGAAGGAAAAGCGTCGCGTCGCCGTCAGGCCCCATCTTAACCGCCACCATATTCGCCATGTCGAGAGACCGTTTTCGAAGCCGTGGAGGCGGCTTCCATCGGCGCGGCGGCGGCGGAGGCCGAGGTGGCCTCCCCGGCAACCACGACTTTCGTTCGCCGCCGCCGAGTATGGCGGGCGGTATGGGGCAACCGCGCGGCGGCCACCATCATATCAGCGGCGGCGGCCCCCCGAAGCCGGAGCCTGCTAAAACGCCGATCTCGACCTCCACTCCGCCTTCCTCCGCTGCCTCCGTTTCCGCCAGCCCGGCAGGCTCGTCGCCTTCCTTGGGGCCGAACCAGAATCAGGTCGGCGCGCCGGCCTCGACCTCGTCTTCCGCCTCCTCCGTTTCCACACCGAGTTCGGTCTCGGCACCAGCCGCCCCCTCGGGGCTCCAGAGCGGCAGCCGAGGAGGGGAGACGCAGCCGCCCCCGCCGCAGACGAACGCGCCGCCGAACCAAAGTCCCGGGCAGGGCGGCTCCAAGAAGGGACCCGGGCCATCTCCCGGAGGTGGAGGGGGACCCGTAGGTGGCCTGAAAGGAGGCCCGGGAGGGCCGCAGTCAGGAGGCGGCCCCAAGAGCGGCGGCGGCGGCAGCGGGGGGCCCGGACAGCAACACCGAGGCGGCGAAAGGCGCGGGGGGCAGCACCAGCACCAGTCTCACCATCACCAACACCCACCCCCGCCGCAGTCGCAGCACCAGGGCGCGGGGGACGAGAAGGTCTCCGACGCTGAGGTAAGCAGAACGGCGGCGGCGGCCCCTCCCGGCCCTGCCTTGACACAAGATGGCGCCGGTGCATCGGCTCTGGCGCGCGCGCGTCCCCCGGCCGCCATCTTGGGCGCGGGAATGCGCGTGCGCGAGGGTTGGAGCGGCGGGCTGCTCCTTGCGGCGGGCGTGGCGGCGGCGGCCGAAGAACAGCGAGAGCCAGTCTGGCTTTTAATCTAAGGTAGTGTTTCTCAACTTGGCTGTGGAATTCTGGGAGTTGAAGTCCACATGCCTTAAAATTGTCAAGGTTGAGAAACGCTGATCTAAGGGGAAAAAGGGCTGCTTTTGTAAGAGGTGCCTCGCTGGCGTTCCCGGAACAGAGTCTGTTTGCTGGGTGCAAGTCCTGATTTTTGCTATCTTAAAAGTCAGTAATGGCAGCACCTTTGATCGCACAGATCAGAAGCGGCTATATGTTCGTACGTTGCCCGCCTTCGGGTCAGCGCTTCACTGCAGGAACTGGTCCTTTCTCTCGACGATCTTTGGCAATGGCAAATCACTTCCGGGAATAAAATATGCGGGGAGGGGGACTAGAGTGGAAGTTGATTTGCCATTGCCTCTTCCCTAGAGCAGAGAGAGAATGCCTGGCCCAAGGCAGGGCTGGTAGGACTTCCGGTTTCCAAGTTTCTAGCCTGGTGCTTGAGCCTCTACAGCAGTGTTTCTCAACCTTGACAATTTTAAGGCATGTGGACTTCAACTCCCAGAATTCCACATGCCTTAAAATTGTCAAGGTTGAGAAACACTGCTCTACAGCAAACTAGTTCTTGTGTGTTTGTGTATGTAGATGCATACTACACCTGCAACATAGCCCAGTTTCATCTAGTGGTTATTGGTGCTGGCTTAGAAAGCAGAAGTCTGGACTTTAGGCCTCCCTTAAGCACCAAAGCTGGCTGGGTAACTGCAATTCTCACTTGGGTATGTTTTATCACCTTGAGTTTATACATATTGTAGGGCAGGATGAAAAATACAGCACTAATAAAGGTTTTTTTAGTTTTTTTTGTAGTTTGATGTGTTGGAAAACGTTTAGGTTCACCATAAGGTTGCCCATTTATCTGGTAATCTGACTTAGTGACTAAACCATAAATAGGTTTATATAAAGCAATATGCATAAAGCATGGTCTGCAGATGCCACTAATCTTAAATCCAGTAACCATATGCTTTGCATTAGCGGTTTATGTGAATTAAATTAAGCCTGATTGTTTTTCCTTCAGGGCCATTGTTGGCCACTTTGCTTTTATGGTAGCGTAATATGAAAATTAGCAGTGGCACTTGTGATGCTTGGAAATATCAATTTTTATTGTTTTTTGAGTTCGGTATCCAGCACAAGTGAATGACATAGATTGGCTGTTTCATGGGGCATTTTTCTATTTGATTTTAAGCACAGGTGTATAATTGCATATTTTGGAATACTGAAAAAGTGTGCTGCATAATATAAATGAATATGATAGTGATGAGCTGTATTGTGATACTTTTAATAGAGATATTGAAGTAAAGGCCTAATAAATGATATTTTAGTGCTGTGCTAAGTGGCTTGGGAGAAAATGAGGTGATGGTGATACTTGTGCAAGACGGTATAGATCACAGGTGTTCAATCTTTTGGCTTGCCTTAACTGCATTGAATGAAGAGGAATTGTCTTGGGCTGTGTATAAAATATATACTATAGTTAATGGTAAATAAATCACATAATGGGGACCGCATTACTAGCTGCCCAGGGCTATAATTATGCTCAGTGTTTTAATAGCAGATTTAAGGTTTCATTGCCAATATTAGGAATTTTTGAATTTGATTTGCATTACTAGCTGCCCAGGGCTATAATTATGCTCAGTGTTTTAATAGCAGATTTAAGGTTTCATTGCCAATATTAGGAATTTTTGAATTTGATTTCCTACTAGTATGGATGCTTAAGCGTGAAGGGTGCAGGCATTACATTTCTTTTCATGGCTGGTTAAAAGTAACTAAATTCAATTTTGAAATGTTAGTGTTCTCTACAATTTTTGTGACAGAACAGAAGTTTACAATTTAAATGCAATAGAAAAATTAGTTATTTTATGTAAAGATATTGTCTGGTGCACCATGTACACGGGCAACCATTTCTTAAGAACATTCTCCCTTCTTTAAAATAAAATACCTCAGGGGCAGTGATGGTTGTGGATTGGGTATGTGATAGATCCATCAAGTCCATTGGAATCATTGCCGCAGCTGTGGTGGGCAAGGGTGGCCCTGCAGTTTGACACCCCTCATCTAAATGGAAAATTGTCAGATTGCTCAGTACAACACTTTTCATAGAAGTAAAAGGGGGTCTCTTCAAATATTGAAATGTAAATGAAAGTAAATATGAAAAAGGGATAATAGTTTATGAAAATAGGTATTTCCAGGCTGATCGACTGTGTCAGCTTGGATATGGAGTAAGGTATGAGCATAATCAGAGTCTATGCTTGCATGGTACTATGTGTGTAAGAGGAAAATAGATAAAATGACGTGTGCTTTTTAAATACAAACATTAACAACTTTTGTCTTTAATTTTTTTAGGGTTTTAAAGCAAATCTGTCACTTTTGAGACGCCCTGGAGAGAAAACATATACTCAGCGCTGCCGTCTGTTTGTTGGGAATTTGCCTGCTGATATTACCGAAGACGAGTTTAAGAGATTATTTTCCAAATATGGCGAACCAGGAGAGGTCTTCATTAACAAGGGGAAAGGTTTTGGCTTTATTAAGCTGGTAAGCGTTGATGTTCCAGATTTTTTTTAGACTTAATACTAAGATTATTCTTACGTTGAACATACTTTTAAATTAAGATTTATTAACCTATTCACAGGAATCCCGAGCTTTGGCTGAAATTGCAAAGGCAGAACTTGATGATATTCCTATGAGAGGAAGGCAGCTTCGTGTGCGTTTTGCCACCCATGCTGCTGCTCTTTCTGTGCGTAATCTCTCCCCATATGTGTCAAATGAATTGCTGGAAGAAGCTTTCTCTCAATTTGGACCAATTGAAAGAGCTATTGTGATAGTAGACGATCGCGGCAGATCCACAGGAAAGGGCATTGTGGAATTTGCATCTAAGCCTGCAGCTCGAAAAGCATTTGAACGTTGCACTGAAGGTGTCTTTCTTCTGACAACGTAAGTTAGGTCTCTCTTTTTTTTATGTAGTTTAGTAACTGAAGACTGTGGACTGAAACTTTAAATAAAAGCTTTAAACTTAAAGGCCAGTATTTAAACCAAACTCAATACTTGTCTCTGATTTTCAGCACTCCAACTCAATACTTGTCTCTGATTTTCAGCACTCCTAGGCCAGTTATTGTGGAGCCTCTTGAACAGCTAGATGATGAAGATGGTCTTCCAGAAAAGCTGGCTCAGAAAAATCCAATGTATCAAAAGTAAGCAGATGTAACCATGTAGAATTGCCACGACTAAACCATATTTGTAGAATATGTGGTCATCTTTGTTAATCTTGTTAGTTTGTCTAAAGTAGTATGCCCTTCCATATTGTGATTTGACTTATTCCTGTTTTCAATTTTATAAATTAGAACTTTTCTGGAAAAGTTTATTGCCTTGAATTAAGATAGTTTGTGCATTTTTCACGTTCAGTTTGATTTAATTATTGTATGTTTATGAACAGTTTTCTTACTGCCAAACTGGTTCCCCTAAAATACTTAAATGGAATTATTTTATTTGGTGAATTTATGTAGATTAAATATAAAGATTCAGAGTTTGATTTTGAAATAATTAACATTTAGTGCTCTTATGCTCTAGGTTTTTAAGCAACCTATCGTAACACTTCAAGAGTCATGTGTTAGTTACTTAAGGCATCTTAAAAATTGCAATTTGATTTTTGAGTTTAAATTAAATTAATTTTAATTAAATTAAAATAATTTGCAAATTAAAGGCAACTGGAATAAACACTTGGACTGATGAGAAGCAATAGTACTATCAGAATTTATGGCCTATTTTGCAGGCCTTTTTTTTTTTTTTTTAAATGGCAAATTGAAAATGCTCAGTAGCCCTGGGGTAGTCCACTCAAGTGAGAAACTGAAAAGTAGGGCATTGTTAGCAGGAGATGGAGTATGTAGTCTCTTTAGCTAGAACTTAAACTTGTCAGTTCCAGCCAGACTCATATTGTGTTCACTCTAATTACTGTTTTGATGGAATAGTGCCTTTCAAAAGTAAACTGAAAATATTTAAGAAAAAAATCAAAGGCTTCTTCCTCTGTAACTGTCTTAAGACTACAGTTTCTTTTGAGCTTGACTTTCTGAGTAGCAGTACAATAGCAATCTGTAGATCAGTGTTTCTCAACCTTGACAATTTTAAGGCATGTGGACTTCAATTCCCAGAATTCCACAGCCAGCAATGCTGGCTGTGGAATTCTGGGAGTTGAAGTCAACATGCCTTAAAATTGTCAGGGTTGAGAAACACTGCTGTAGATGAAGAAAAGTGCTAATGTTATACTATGTTGTTAGAGTCCTCCCCCTCCCCGGCTGAACATTTGCCAGGCTTAAACTTTACCAGCATCCTCACTAGCTGTTTGCAACATATTAATCTGCATTTCATTTTCAATTGGATTTTTAGGGAGAGAGAAACTCCTCCACGATTTGCACAACCTGGAAGTTTTGAGTATGAATATTCTCAACGGTGGAAATCCTTGGATGAAATGGAGAAACAGCAGAGAGATCAAGTAGAGAAAAACATGAAAGATGCCAAGGACAAACTGGAAAGCGAGATGGAGGATGCTTATCACGAGCATCAGGCAAACCTTTTACGCCAAGGTATAGGGCACAGATCTCTGGTTGAGATTTTGCTTGATTTCTCCCGTTTTTTTCCCCCTCAAGTTTTCACCATTGGTATTCTAATGTTTGCTTTTACTCCAGTTAAAATATAAATTTACTGTTTTTAGGTTTATTACTCACATTTATATAGCTGCCCATTTCACTATTAAAGGTGATTCTGGGTGGTTGCACAACAGTAGATAAAACAGCCAATATAAAAATCTAAAGAAACACAATAGTGGCATAAAAACAAAAATGCTAACCATGGTGAAGAGAGGGTAAAATGCTAGTTATGCTCTCAGGCCTAGGATTCCCAAGGAACCAGACATTTGTCTTGATGGCTCCCACTCAACAAGGGAGCCATCAAGACAAATCAATGATTCCCTAGGATAGGGGTAGGCAACCTTGGCTCTTTTATGACTCATGGACTTCAATTCCCAGAATTCCTGAGCCAGCCATGCTAAGGGAAAGGGAGAGGTTTCCAAGCTCAGCCATGCTGGCTCAGGAATTCTGGGAGTTGAAGTCCACCAGTCATGAAGGGGCCATAGTTCCCCCATGCTGGCTGAGGAATTCTGGGAGTTGAAGTCCACGAGTCATAAAAGAGCCAAGGTTGCCTACCCCTGCCCTAGGAATACTAGGCCTGAGAGTATAATCAATCTAATAAATATCAAAACTGACGATCCCACTCTAATTTCAGGGGAAAGGATGTACCATAAGGCGAGTGCCACAGTTACATTTTATTATTTGCACAGTTTTTCTCTTAGTCTTAGACTGCTGTTTCAGAAAAAAGTTGAGCTGAAAATATTTGTCTTCCATCGATTGCCTAAGTAGTAACATGTCTACTAAGTATTTGCTGAATGTATGAATCATCAACTAAAATAATCTGGAGGCAAACTTGTTTTGTGTACAAAGTTGCTTGTTAGGCTTTTTGCATTTAATAAACAATTTTATTGATGCCCATCAAATTTAGATTCTCTTTAATTGATAGAAACTCAATCTATTAAACAATGGTTGCTTAAATGGTCAAACTTACAGATCTCATGAGGCGACAAGAGGAATTGAGACGCATGGAGGAACTTCACAATCAAGAGATGCAGAAACGAAAAGAAATGCAGTTGAGGTAATTTGAACTTATGGTTGCTAATCCTGTATTTAACGACAAGTTTTATATGTGGCTGTGGGGAAGCAGAAATTACTTAAAACCAAGTGAAGGAACTAATGGAGGATTGCTCAGCTTTGTCTCCTCCCAATATAGACCTATTTTATTGTAATTCATGAAGGCTTATTTACAGTGACTATTTTTGAAGGCTTAGTTCTTAGCTTAAATAATTTTGTAGTAAAATGAATTAGTACACTATTCAGGTCTTCTAAAAGTACAAATTGTAAAAGAGCAATTGTATTTTCAGACAAGAAGAAGAGCGACGTAGGCGGGAAGAAGAGATGATGATCCGTCAGCGTGAGATGGAAGAACAAATGCGAAGACAGAGGGAAGAAAGCTACACTAGAATGGGTTACATGGATCCTGTAAGTCAGGGCTGGAAGAATCCCAGTAATCTAGTTGCCCAGATGCTTGACTCTCAGGTTAATCCCTAGGAATAAGTTTTGATACTTGTTTGAAAGACTTTTCCCAATTTTGATGATGTAAATCTGGATCTTGGAGGATTGGTCCCTGCTGTCTTAGAGCTGATCATCCTGCTGACTTTTGTTACTTAAGAATTAAAAGTCATAGCCTCCCAGCTTCTAATCCAAGTGTGCATGACAGAGCTTTTAAGGAATCCACTTGTTCTTAACAATGTCTGTTTGTCTTTGCAGAGAGAAAGAGACATGAGAATGGGTGGTACCAGTGCAATGAACATGGGAGGTAAAAAACAGTTTTCCAATTAAACTCGCCTGTATAAGTTACTGTGATCTATCTGATGCATAACCATTTGAATTTTTTTTAAACTAGATCCCTATGGTACATCTGCTCAGAAATTCCCACCATTAGCAGGTGGCACTGGCCTTGGCTATGAGACCAATCCAGGAGTTGGACAGACATCCATGAGTGGCACTATGATGGGAAGCGATATGGTAACGTATCCTGTGGCAGCTTGACCATAGTTCTAGAGATTTTCTTTTGCATTAATTCCACATAACCTACACTTTTATAGATAGGCTTCCTTTTTCCAGCTTGTTAATAGGAAGAGACCTGTTGAGCAATGTAAAACTAAGTCTAGTCTTTGCCAGTATGGTTACAGGTCTGCTCACATTTCTGCAATGGATATTAGCAGACTTCCCTGTGATCAAGTTGGGTTGGGAGTGGTCTGGCTAAACTTGCAAGGAGCCTTTAGTTCTGTAAATCTAACAAACTGTCGGGGTGGGGGGGTGCACACATTCTTGTTGAGTTAGCTTAACGAGCAGAAGTGGTCTTGTGTCACTTTCTGAACTTGAGTTAACTGCGGTGCACAGAAATGTGTAAAAAAATAAAGGGAGATGAAAATAAACCTAAAAATATAATTACACTATACTTGTACTACTTGTTAATGCAATGGGTTAATCACAGGTAGAGAATATTTAGATGTAAATTACGTATCTTATTGTACACATTGGCTTTTGACACCCAATATGTGATGATGAGGAAAGAAGCAGTTCTTGAGGTAGGCCACTCATTAGCAGTCTGTTTCTTGAGCAAGTTGCTTGTTGACTCTTAAATAATATACGATTTGGTTATGGTGCTGTTTTAAGTTTCCTGACTAGATGGAGCTGCTGGATCAATCTAAAGATCCATCCTATTCCCAAAGTGGTTAACCGGATGCTTCGGGGGATGTCTCAGAGCAGTAGCTTCTTCCCCGTTGTCACCAATATTCAGGGGCATATCTTGCCTTATAGTAGCTGCAGATAGTACACTTGTTCTCTAAGCACTTTGAACTTTACTTCCTGTTCCTGTACTTGTAGGCTTCAGAGAAATTTCTTGATTTCACATTATACGTGAAGCCTTGGAGTAATATAATGGTAGTGTACAACTGGTACATAGAATTACTGAAAAATCTAAGCCTAAGCCTTCTTGTCTGGTACACATTCACCTTAAGAGTTTAATCTTAACACATAAAATAAGTGTTGGGGTTTAAGGGTGGAGGCTGTTCTAATACTGAAGGTTTTGCTACATGAGATGGGCCACTAGTAGCTCATGTGTCACTTAATATAGAAACCAATACCATTTATTTAACCCCAAGTTCTTAAAGATTTCCTGTGACCGTATAGCTCAAAGGAGTCTGCAATTAGTCATAGACTTCTGTTGAAATAGGTTGTCTGATAAAACCCGGATGTGTGTTTTCAAAATTAACAATGCAGTGTATCAAATGTTTAAGTATATCTCATTCACTTGTAATTGGTGGCACTAGAAAAAAAAAAAGCCTGAAATTTCAGTGAAGCACTGTGCTGTCTTTCTAAAGTACGTAACTTTAACAACTTAGTAGAAATTGTCTCCTTTACGGAATTTGTTCATTCATGACACTTGGCCTGTAACTGTAAGCCAGTTGTTAGAGGAAATCTGATGGGAGTTTTACTTATATCAGTGGTGGCGAACCTGTGGCACGCGTGCCAGAGGCGGCACTCAGAGCCCTCTCTGGGCACGCGTGCTATGCCCGGGAGATAGCAACCGTCCCTCTTCAACCAGCCGCCTGCTAACTTGCCGAGGTCCCACATGGCTGGATGCATCCCAGCACCCATGTGCTCCCTGGCCTCTGTGTGCAGGGGCCGATGGTGTCACGCAGCAGCCGCCCCGGCCCCTGCCTCACCTTGCCCTGTGACAATGGCACCCCCACCCTGCCTCGCCTTGCCTAGCCTAGCCTCTCCCCACAGGACGAGCCTCCTGCCCACCGCCCCACCTGCCAGAGACCCCCTGGATCTCCCCCAACCCTGCCCGGCCCCCACAGGCGTCCCTCCCCACGAGCAACATCGAGGTGATCATGCCCACCTTGGCCACATCCATCCAATCTGCCATGACCACCACAGCCACTCCCACCCAGTGGGCCATGCCCACCTGGCACCCGGCAATAAATAAGTGGGTTTTGGGTTGCAGTTTGGGCACTCGGTCTCTAAAAGGTTCGCCATCACTGACCTTATATGCTAGAAATCCAGACTCTCAGTTGACTCCATGATTGGATACTTATGCAAATCAGTGAAGGGCTCATGCATATGTTTTCTCATCTGTGATGATTGTGGCAGTAGCATTCTGGAATCTAGGCTTTTGTTTGTGGGGTTATTGGGGAACAAATTGAGTGTGAGCCTTTCACAAAGAACATCTGCATGCGTATCTAGTTAAAGGATTCATACAACTAGTCTGAGGAATTTATACTGAGTGAATTGGCTCTGTTGTTAAGCTTGAGCGCATTGGGAAGCTTTTTTTTTTTTGTATAATAGTTCCTATGCTACCCTAACAGCACCAATAATACCAACATCAACATCTTTGATTCATTACACTCTCCCTTGTGCCTGATAAATCAAGAAATGAAGAAAGGTCAGGTAAACTGACAAGCGAACTGGTCTGCTTTATTTCAGCTTAGTTGAGCTTTTGTGGATTCAGAGGAGAGACCAGCTTGAGTGTATTCAGATAACTGCAAAATAATAATTGACTCTGCTAATCCTTACTCTAAAGCCATAATAGGACCTCTACCGCAGTGGAGCTATTTAAAGAAGCTTAACATTGTGCAAAGGTTTAGTGGTTGTCTTGTCTTGGCAATTTAAACCAGGTGCATAATATTTCTTGTTACTTTCATAGGATCAGTGGCTGTTGAAAAACATTTGAAAAACAGTTCAAGTAACAGGGTCTTATACCTTTTAAAAACAGGGTCTTATACCTTTTCACTAGGCATCTGCTTTTTATACAAGATGGCTGATGCTTTAGGAAGCTCCTGCAGGACTTCTTTGTACCTTCCTTGTTCACTGACTGTGTAGATTAGCCAACTGTAGCAGATGACCAGAATTCCGTTCAGAGAGAATTCTTGGTTCGAAACCCATACTAATGCTTGAATTTTTAGCACTTCAGGGAAAATCTGTTTGCTGAAACAGACATTTCAGAATGGATCAAGTTGGGAACATACCACGAGACATGTATTAAGTTAAACTAATTATTAAATTACCCTTTTTTCCTTTCTATGTTCCCGGTACCTGTGGATCGACTCAATGGTGATTGTATCGACGAACGTTGACTGCGGAACCTTCTAAAATAAATTCTTAACACACATGGACATCAACTACACATAATGAACTCTTATTAATTGTTCTAATAGCGCCCTGAGCGATTTGGACAGGGAGGTGCGGGGCCTGTAGGTGGCCAGGGCCCTAGAGGAATGGGGCCTGGAACTCCTGCAGCTTATGGGAGAGGGAGAGAAGAATATGAAGGCCCAAACAAAAAGCCCCGATTTTAGATGTGACTAGTAGATTTTTCATTCCAGTTTGTTTTATTTGTCTTGTTTAGACACTACTTTTTTTTTTAATTCTTGCATTTTAGTAAGAAAGCTACGTTTTTATGGATGTTAGAACTTAAAATGATTTAGAATTTGTAAGTGGTCTGGGCAAAAAAAAAGTCTAATTATGTAATGCAGTGTTCTAAACTTAGCTTTTTTGATGTATAACGTCCCTACCTTGATGGCAATGTACTGTGTGCCATATGAAATCCCAAGTGTAAACTTTTTTTACTGTGCTTAAAATAAATAGTCTAAATGTAGCAAGATTCTTTTATCATAAACTTCTGAGCATAGAGGGCAAATAACACTTCCAAAAGGCAATGAATTTCTTGAAATGAGATCTGGAGTGTTGCACAATACATGTGGCTGGGATGCTACCGTGCCGTAAAGCCTAAAAATATATCTGCAATTTTAAAATCTAATTGAACTTTGATATTTCATATCAAATGAAGTCTTACCCTTAGAAAAGGCTTTGAGAATTCTGCAAAACTTTGACTATGATTATTCAAGTATACGTATTTGGAATTTTAACGTCCTTACAATGAGGAAGCAAACTGATTTTGGGTGAAATAGATCTTTAACTTAATGAACAATGTAGTTCAGTTTTGAATAAGGAGGTGGGAAGGAAATGGGTAAGGGCCAGTAATCTTAACAGTATTGGCTGTTGCCTCTCCAAAGGACGTTTCCATCCTAACTGTTACAAGTCAGCATAACTTTCTATATGTTATTCAGAATCTCATTCTTTTAATAAGACTCAAAATTTGAGATCTGGTTGATCTATTTCACTTCTAATTCTTTTCCTAGTTAAGCATTTTAGTGCCCACCAGACGTTTTATCTTAACAGAATCCTTGATGATTGAATATTATCTGTTGAAGTTGCAATCCAAATATTGGAAGGAGTACTTTTTTTTCTTGATTTAACCAGTGTAATCTTGATCCAAAAGGTTTGAGCATTGGTGGGCACTTGTGTATTATATTTAACATCAAAACTTCACTTAAACGCAGAAATGAAATATCCTTTCAGGATTACAGTAGTAATTTTATTAGATTAAAGCCTGACATACAGAAATCTTAAGTACCATTAAAATGGAAATATTTTTTCCCTTGGGCTACATAGTATCAACTTGTGCTGTTGACTTGGTAGAGTTGAATCATTTTGTATTTATTAAAATGCTGTAAGAAGTTAAGCTGTCTTGGACTCTATACCCTCGTGCCTAAAATATACTGGGTGCTCAGTTTCCTGGTATAAAAAGGTACAATGGCTTGGTAAAATGAAGATGAACCAGATCAGAGAAACATTCTGTGATTAATCCTGTTGGTTTTTTATTCAATAACTTCGGTGCTTTAAATCCTTTAAATATAAGGGCGGGAAACTTTCCCCCCCCTCTAACGGGGAGCCATTTTATATCTGTTTAAAACAGTTACTCTGGGTAATGTTGCATTTACTCTACCTTTTTTCCCCAGAAGGTTGTTGAGAGAGGGGCATAAAAGTTTTGGCAAGTCAGTACTGATTACTTGCAGGCATCCTGTTTTGGCTGGGTTTTTTTCCCCCCTTTCAACTGTTGACACTCTCTGTGCTACTACCTCCAGTAGCTTGCGATAACCAGAATGCCATACGTGGTCCCCCCCATCCCTACTTTTAAATGTGCTAAAGCTGAGGAAGAATCAGTTACCTGTAAGCCGCTTATAACTGCAGCGTACGAAACTTCACGGCCACCAGTTGTTAACGTATTTTCGTTCTGCAAAATGGATTGACTCAAAAGCTTGTGCTTGAGCCAAAAGCCTTTTGAAAAACCCAAGAATGGTAAAACAGCTGATATTCAAGGTTGCTGGACTCTGCCTCTCATTTATTTTAGTGTTGTGGTTGAATTAAGCTTATATTCCCAGAAGCTTCAAGAAGTTTACCATCAAAGGGGGAAGAACGCCCACAGTTCTTGCATTGACTTCTGATGTAGAGAAAACCCTTGTGATACAAATGTGGACTTTTAACTTGTGTCCTGGGCTGCGCACAGCTCAGTTCTGCTTTTCTCACGGAGGTGTTCATGGACACCCGCTGTAGGAAAAACACCAAGACTGACAGTGGTGGGGCCTCTGGAAATGGAAACTAATTTTCAGTTTATTTTTCAGATTACATGCCATTTTTCCTTAGGATGCTGGCACATATCCTAAACCATGTTCTTTTGTAGTACTGTAATCTTGGACGAGTGAAGGAAGCTGATGGTCCCATTTCCTTCCTAAGGTTCATCTCTTGTTTACATTTTGTCTAAACTTGGCTGATATTAAAACGGGAAGGAAATATTGAGGGGGCCAATGTAGATTTTTTAACACTTTACTGGACGAGTACTTTTGTCAAACGTCCTTATATAAAATACGCACAGTAGTCTGACTTCCAAAGGATAACAAGCAGGCTGATCCCTCAGTAGCAAACCAATGGTTGGGGGAGTTTTCACTGAATTGAATGTTCCATCTTTTTTAGCTTTTTTTCTAAATGGATTTAAATATTTGTTTAGATTTACAGATGATGCCTTTTGAGCAGAAGACATAACTATTCTACTTCTGCGGGCCATTAAGCCTTTAGGTCATGCATAAGTTATCCCAATCCAAGGGTCTACCCATGTTTAACAATCCTAGCATGCTATAATCACCTTGTTAGTTGTAATAAATGAATTTCTGTTTCTGTGCGTATTTTGTGGTATATTTGTTTTTTTAAAAAAGTTCTTGGCATCTCCTTGGCAACCACTTGTGGCAGCATGCTTTTCTCTGGAGTTTGAGACTGCAATATGACACTGTTTAAAAGTAGTGGCCTGCTATGTAACAGCACTTAGACAGCATTTCCGCAGTGCATAACTGTGAGGAACGTAGTACCACAAGTGGCAATGGACATTAGCACCTGGATGTAGTATTCCTGCTTGCTCCAAGATTCTCATTGTCGCCTGCATACAGGTAGGTAAAAAAGAACTATAATCTAACTTGGTGACTTTCTGTGTAATCTTGCTATGGGGGTATTCTGGCATCACACTACTGACTGTGGGATTTCAGTGCAGCACTTCTCATACGGCATGGTGCTTAGTTTTGAGGCCTAATCTGGAATCAGCATTAGGCAAACGGACTATGATGCTGACACTTGTGCCTCAGACCCGTGATTTCTTCGTGCATACGACTTGCTTCTTCTGTCTTCACCGTGTGATAAAAGACATTTTTATAGAGTTCAATGGGAGGGGAAAATGAGTTCAATCTCTGCATAATTTTACTACTCATGGTCTCCATTGTGTATAGGAGCGGTTGCTTTTAGTTCATATTGGCTATATATTAAAAGTTGTAGGAAAACTCTTTCATGGTCAGGCAGATAAATGCATTGGTATTTTTCCCTTTATAATAGTGGTTGCTCTGTTAAGTTTGAGGTAGTATTGAATTAGTATTTTGTAACTGTAGTGTCAAGTTAACATAATACGGGTGGCCGGCTGTGGGATGATGACTGATAATGTAAAAAAAAAAAAATAATTTTAGAGCTCCCCTTAACTCTAATCCATGCATCTTACCAAAATGTATAGGTTACTTTGCTTACTACTTGATGAAAACAAAAACAATAGGGGTTTTATATCTAATGTAGTTGATGACCAAGTTGATGAAAAAACAATAGGGTTTTTTTGTATCTAATGTAAGTTGCCCTCCAGAACTATTGGCTTTGTTGTGCTAGCTAGGTCTATATTATGTCTCTTGAAAGCATTTCATAATACTTAGCTCTTGGATCAGTTCATAAGATACAGCAATGCTCAACTTAAAAAACAGAAGTGCAGTTCTGTCAAATTTCATGTTTCAGTGTGTTTGAAGAAGAAGAAGAAAAAGGCTGCTTTGTGAACAGGATTCCACAGTGAATCTTAACAGCCAAGTAATCGTTTGGAGTTCCTATTTTGTACCTGGGTGGTTTGGAAGAGGTTTTCTTTAAAGTCCCTTGTCAGTACAACCAGTAAACTTTAAATCCTATGAACAGCATGTTCACCATGGGACTAGTTATATTCCAAGCTGGATATTCCAAGTAGTATTCTAATGGACTCCACAAATAAGTATGCTATGTAACTGGGCGGCAGATATATTCAACCGTAGTAACTACTCAGTTTGAACCAATATGCCAATGGCTTAATTGAAGCTTGGGGATTGTATCTTTTAGAGTTTCTCTTGACATAAGTGAATTTTTAGTAAAACAGGTGAATTGGATTCCAGTTTCTTATGTACATGATTAACTGCAGTTGTAAAGAGGAGTACATTAAGTTATTCTTTAAGGGCAGTAACTCTGTTCAAAACATCTCTTTAAGTGTATAAGTGGCATAAGAAATAACAAAAGTGCTTGCATTGTATTCCATGTTAAGCTTTTATTCTGGTCCTTGATTTCCCCCTTGCAAAAAAACTGACTTCAGAGCTCAGAAGTGTGATGCCAGAATACATTATGCGTACTTTGCTAGGTTCTCAGTTCCGGTTACTAGTGCTGTGTGAGGACAGAAGCACTTTCCTAACATTATTGGGGGGGGGGAGGCTTTGTTACAGTATCGAAAAGCTTCTATTGGCTGAAGCTCTCTCCCCCCCCCAAGACTAGACTAAGCAACCAGGGGGCTGAAACTCTGCAAGTAACTTCAAGCGGCTGAGCAGGAAGGCCTGTGATAACTTCTAAAATTGGAGCCCAAACATGAAGAGATTGTGCTTTTTTAGGTTTGTTTGGACCATTGGTTGTTTTCCACCATCACAGCTAGCAAGGTTGGAATCAACAGGTCAGTTGCAGATCTGTCTTTATGCTACTTGCTGGGCTTAAGCAAATGCCAGGGGAGGGGGGGAGAAAAGGGAGGCTTCTCCCATTTTGTTTGTTCCATTAGCAACTGTTTGTGGAAGCCCAATGGTGGTGTATTACCAATCCCCCTCCCCCCTCAGAAAACTTCGACATTGAATATTGGCACAATGAAATGTGGGAAAGGGATGGCTGCAGACAAATAGCTAGGGAGAAGAAATATAATTTTGTATTCCTAATAACCTTTTGTTTTGCAAAAGTATTAAATCCAGATGTGGTCTTGAAAACTGGCACATTGGCTGGCTTGGCAGTGTTTCTGACATTATAAGGGCCATTAAGAATTAGTTGCAGGTGGAAAGGTTGACCTTTCTCTTTACGCCCTTAATAAAGAACATTTGAAAATGGCTAGGGACCCAACCACAGGGGGGCAATTTCTAATAGTCTAGTAAGCAAATTCTTCTCTGTCTTGTAAAGATTCAGAAAGCTTTTGGCTTCTCCTTCAACTACCTGAAAAAAGATGATTTGCTTTATGGGGGGCGGTAGGGGTGCATGGCAGCAATTCAGAGAGGCAGTTAAATAGCTGAATGCAGTGGCTTTGCACTTGCACCTAAGGGGCAGTGTATCTCTGCCTGCAACTGTCCTGATTAGGCAGCATCTGTTCCAAGGGGCAGTTCAGAGTTAAGAGTTAGTTGCAATTGTTCACTATCCTGTGTTTCAGTCTTTGGAATAAAATATTCATCTCCTTCTCCTTGTGCCCCTTGCTACCTCCCAATGACTATTATTAGTAGCTTTTTGTAAAACTCCCCTCAATTTTACAAGTTCATAAGTTGCACTTAATGTTTAAACTTAATTTTGTTTTCAGAAATATTTCAGTCTGTTTTTCCCTACTAACTTTAATTCTTATCCTTTAGGTGAAGATAATATCAGCTGGATGAAACTAGAACACTTCCATATAAGGTAAGGCTTTTCATTTCACAAAGCTGTTTCTAAGCCCTTGGAATAAAAAAATACGTATGTAAATTTGGTGACTTATTTGCCACACACAAATAAGGTCATGGGAAATATCTTAATATATAATGTCAGAAGTTGCTACAGAGAAAAATGACCTGGAAAAGCATGCTTTACTCTTTCTCCCAGTCATTTTTAGTTTTCCATTTTAAGTATATAAATTACTGTTACTGGCTTATGCTACATTTTTTTTTATTTTCCTCTCTGTGCTATTTATTGATTAGCTTTAAGCCTTAAAATACTTAGTTGACTATATTCTTTCATTATTGAATGAAAATCTTAAAATTTCAGTTAGAAGTTCATGATGATCTTTTTTTTCCTATCCAAGTTCAGACTCTTACGTAATTGCAAAATTGGGCAGAATCACTAGATCCCTACAGAAGTGAACAAAATGAGTCTGCTGCCTAAAAAGGCATTCTGAAATAAAACCAATTATAATGAAACTTACTAACCTTGGATTATATTAAATTCAAAACAGCTTGTCAGCATACTCCCATGTTACAATTAAAACAATTTTATTTTACAGTTGACCAATAGCCAGTATATGCCCACACAATTGAATGTTATAGAGAGAAGCACTCTGCAATACATAGGTAAGGAAACAGGTTCTTGTTGAACGTTTGAACAGTGAAATGGGGTGACGCAGAAGCTGAATTGCTGTCTGTTAGGCATTGGTGCAGGAGATAGGCTCTTTCAGCTCTTGAATTCTCTGTAGCCGAGCTGCCCATGAAACAAATCACTTGTTGCAGTGGTTTATTTTTTGCAAAAAACAAACAAACAATGGCATGCATGTCAGAGCAGTTTGCAGTAAATGTACTAAAGAACATCTGTTAAATTCTACTGGTAGAAGAAAATTTTATGGATCAGGTTATTCATATAAAATTGTGACAGGTAGTCAGCCTTTCTTGTTTTTGCTTGGTTCATATTTAACAAAATCAAAGTTACGACCAAACAAATCCAGGTTTAGTCCGATCTTGGCTTTTACCCAAGTGACTTTATAGGAACACTAGCAGGTTTTCCAAAGGTTAAGAATGTCTTGAAGCCGAATGTAAATATGATGGCAAGTCTTGATTTGCATTTAATATGCTAAAGCCAATTTAAATGATAGATCTCCTGGAGAGCCAATTTGGTATATTGGCCCTAGAAACCAAGAGATGAGTTCTAGACACTTTTTTAGCATGAAACCTGATTATGTGTGGAAACTAGGAAGCAAGAATATTAGGTATGTATATATTCTTGAGTTGGCCAAAAATGAAGATGGAATTAAAAATAAACAAGCAGGATGCAGCAACAGTATAATTTAGCCATAAAAATCTTGATTTCTGGCTGATCAGTGTAATAATCCTCTTAATGTTGTGGGGTTTTTTTCCCAGGAGAAGAATGGTACATGTGATTGCAAAAAGGAGGAGTCCATGGATGCAGTAGCACTTTCTTGAAATCTTCAATAAACTATTAAGAAACTATTAACAACTAGTGTCAATTCTTGAAAAAGATCAATTTACAATTGGTGTTCGTTTGAAATATCAGAAGGAAGGTGGGAGTGATATGATGCGTTGAATATGTCAAACTTTTTCATCTCCTGAAAACTCCTTTATAGGCAGTTATACTCTTGAGTAGGTTATTCTGGAATCATGCTGAAAAGCTGCATTGATTCCCCAGTGAGTTTTGTTATTTCTGCAGTATTTTGTAACCCTCAAGTTCACTTTTAAAATTTCTTCTTCCTATTTCTAGCCTTCAGCTGTTCCCTTTCTCAATATTCTGTAATTAATTAGCTCGCTTGAGGACTGGAACCAATTTCAAATAGCTTGATTGGTGGTAGAACAGCAATCTAGAAGTAGCCCATTTGAGCTACACAGATTTGGGCGGTGAACCAGGTTGGGTCCAAATTTGCTGGAAGGTTTCAAAATATCCTGAATTCAGTTGAAGTGCTGAAAAAGTACCCTTTGATACAAGTTACTAGTTTACGTTCATTCAGGTTTGTTTGAAAATGCTAGATCTATGTTTTGCAAAAAAAAAGTCAGAAATCTCTGGCTTGATTAATTAGGAAAAATAAGCTCAGTTTCTCTGCCATACGATCAGGATTGAATTTCACAAGGTTTCCGTTTAAAAAAAACCCATGAAATTTCTTCACTTGGATCATGGATAGAACAACTGGCTCATTCTTGATGGCTAATAATTTAAAGCTTGATTCCTTGCCTTAAAATCTTCCTGCTCCCAGTTTCTCCCAAGTTTCACATCTTTCTTTGTAATTCGGTCTAGTGGTTCTGACACAAGGCTAGAAACCAGGAGAATGGGGGTTATAGTGCTGTCTTAGATAAACCTGGTTGGGTGACTTCAGGTATCTCAAGTGTTGTTGGGAAAATAGGAAGGAGTATTGGGTATGTTCGCTACCTTGAATTACAAAAAAACCCCAAAAAGGTGAGAGATAAAGATACGAAGTAAAAATACGCTTATTTACAAAGCCAGACAACAAATTTAACCCCTATTCAATTACTGATAAATATTGCACGCAGGTCAAGCTTGAATTATTTATATGTAGGCTTAGACAAGGAAAGCTAAGAGGAGGCAGCTGGAAGAATTTACAAAAAAGGACAAATAGTATTGTGGCAATGAAGACGGAGTATGGTACCCGTCTGGCTTTTGGGGACACAAGGAGGGCCTCCATTAGTCCACATCTACCTGCGTGCTTCTCCCATTATTACCAGCCATGCGTTTCAGATTTATTGGAAAGGCACAGTGGATTTCCTCAGGTAAGTTTGCTTTCATTGATATCCTTAGTTTATAACAGGTGAATAAACCCTACAAGGGGCAGGCAAGGCCTGGAGAAATAGCACCCTGTCTTGCAAGATTTGTCTTTTTTTATAGTTTAATAAACATATATCAACTAAAAGAAAATGCAGAAAAAGAAATGACTAACGAACTATTTCAGTGTCACCTCTCAACAAATAATTGTTTTTATCTGAAACCCAACTTTATATTCCTTTTATTTTTAATGCTCCTTTAACCCCTTCAAATACTGCCCTAGAACGTTTTTTTCTTTTGTTGTCCTTTCCTAAAATCCTTCAAAACTTAAAAGATTCTTGTAAATTCAATATAGGAAAGATATCCAGATCACTGAGTTCTAATATCCAAAAGAAGTGTAGTGCATCCGAGCAGCTGTAGAAAACAACTCAATATATTAGGAATGGAATGTGCTGATATTTGGCAGAAAACCAGACGAGGACAAAAAGTCAATATTTGCAATGTTTTCCATCCTATGATGAATCACTTTCCAGAGTGAGCGTTGGGACTGCCACCTGATACGAAAGAATGATTCATCTGATTGCTAGCATTTCCTTGTGTGTGTACTTGTATGTGTGTGCGTACGTACTCTATTTTGGCATCAACCCCTTGAGAAATTTGATACTTGTCTTCCACAGATATTCCCATTGTTTCATATTGTAATGGAAAACATGGTTTTGGGAACTGAGCGAACTTGGGGGGGGGTGGAAGCTTTCAGAAAAGTACTCAAATCCTGATTAAAAGGAAAGCATAAGGAAAATAAATAGTCCCCAACAACCATTCATTTAGCAACTGTTTGAAATTACAACAGCACTGAAAAAAAAATGATAACTAGTCCTTAAACTTGAGGGTGTCAGAGCATCCTCATGGTCCCCTAATCAGAATTTGGGCCCTTGGCAATTAACATGTTGCAGTGTCCTGGGGTCAAACGATTGCCATTTGTGACATTCCCGACAAAGTCAATGGGGAAAGCCGGATTCACTTAACAACTGCACGACTCGCTTAAGGAAGCAGTTATTTAAATCTCAGGCGAACTTTCAAAATTCTGTGGTTCTACCCTACCATAATTCTGTACCCGTTTCTCAACCTGGACTGTTTTGAAAGGCGGAGACATCAATTGCCCTGTTGAAATTATACATCCATTTAATCACAAGTTGCTTGCTTCTGAATCATCTTTCAGTGGAGCTTACATTTATGCCCTAATTACACATCTTGCAAATCTCTTTAAGTATGCCAACTAGATTTTGGAACTGCTTATTTTAAGGTAGTGAAATCAATGAGGTGTCAACAGTGTCTCAAAATATTTCATCTTGGTTTCATTAAAGTTTAAATCTAGCAGTGATCTGTGGATTTGCTGATCAAAGTTAGCACATTCCTCTTCAGGAAAATATTTAAGGAAGACAATAAACCTAGGTTTAGCCCGTTTTATTTCGTGTTTTTAATTGCGTATTATTGATCTATGCACTGAAATATTACACCAGAGATATTAGCAGGCTTTCTAAGGGGTCCTTACAGTTTTATTTTCAATACCTTTCCAAAACAGAACAGGTGCCTGAATTCCAAAGACCAGGATGAGAATAAGCTACCTTTTCTCAAGCTTCCTGGGGCAAGAATTCAAACAAGAAGAGATGGTTGCTGGAATTGCCCTTCTTCCAACGTGAATTTGGACAACAGCTTGAAGAAAAAGTGTACCTACTTTCATTTTTCTAAACCCATCCGCCTTATCCCAAAACCAGCGCCTCGCAAAGCCAGCCGTGACGTCCTGCCGTGTGGCCGTAGACAATTAACTCACCACACCGCACATGATTTCATCGTCACTGGGTTGAACTGCAGACTACTATGGCAGAGAAACCTCCCATTGCTGCCCAAGATGAGAAGACCAAAGCTGGAGCTCCATGTTTACCTTCCCAGCGAGAAAGATGGTGCAGATGCTAGGTCGTCTGGGAAGAGATGGAGCACAGACTGAGTGCTTTAAGCTTGCAAAATTCTAGACTGAAGCAAATCTAAAAGTCTTCAAAACACTCATGCTTTGTAACCCAAAGCCAAATAAATTGCCTGATGCTGATCTCTGCAAGGCACATATGTATCTGTAGAAGAGAACATATAGTTTGAGGTTGAACTGTGAGGTCTTTGGTGTTCTCTGAGCTTGGTGGGGTTTTTTTTTTTTTTTTGCAGACGTTTCATTTCACAACTAGATAACTTCGAGGACCCCACATACCTGATTATTCTTTTTCATGGAAACAATGTTATGCAGTGGGGAGGAAAAAAAAGGTTTAAAAATATAAGCAGAATGCAGCTAAGAAAACACCAATATCTACTTTGCATTATTTACTGTCCCTTATCCTACCTCTCCCATCTTTGCCAATCTTTGCTTCATATTTCATACACTCCCTTTCATGTCCCACACAAGAACAAAAACTGCAGATGAGAAATGCTCTTGCTCCCCCCCCATCCGATCAGACTTGCCCCCAACCTTGCTAGCCTCTCCAAGACATTAAAACCCCGTTCAGCCTGGGGCCCTGATAATCGTGGTTTAAGCCTGCTTCTTGGTCATACAGATGGAGAAGCATTGCGATTCTTTTAAATGTACCCAATAATTTTAACCAAAGGAGACGTGGGGGACCCTCCTAGAGAATGCTTCATATTGTGAGGTACACAAGAAACGTACATGTTGTAATTTTCCATTTCTGTTAAAGGAATAGGCACTTATAGAGGCACTTAGCTAAGGTATTTTTAGGAAAGGAGATGTAGTAAGCTGGAGGAATAGAGAGAAACTATATACACTTTAGGATAGTGCACACTATTGTAGAATAGCATACAGCTTATGAATAACATATGATTCAATTTACATAAAGTTTAGTTTTTATAAAAACTGCCTAGAGTTCGTATTTTGAAGTATAACTATGAACCAAAGTGCAGACACGTTTAACCAAAGCATGAACTCTGTTACACACATAGCTTCTAGATGAAAAGCAGGCACTCTTATAGATAAACAAGGGAAGACATAAAAACTTTATAATTGCAATTATCCAGTTTGGATAACAGTTCACCTTGTAGATAAGGCAGGGTGTTACAAACCATGCCACAGAAAAGGGAGTCGAGATAAGACAGGAACAAAAAGCTGCTTTTTGATCTAATAATTGGAGGGTTTGGTAAATGTAAGGATTGCCAGGAAAGCAAGTGACAGGGTGGGCCTATCAACCGGGCTCACTTTGGAAGGATGTGGTGTGATGCACGGGGACAGGGTGTAAAAACCTACACAAAAATTGATTCAAGTGTGGACTCTGGGATCTGCCATTACGAAGAGTTCCACCAGCTTTTGCAAAAGCTTTTAATAAAATTTGTTTTTTTTCCTCCAACATCCTTGGAGTTGAATTTTTATTCCTCCCAATGTCACAGAAGAGACGACCACCAACTTGCTCCCTTGGAAACTCAGGTCCCTGGCTCTTCACGCGCGATTGGCACCAGCCCACGCGCACCCTCCGTGAAACCCCTTCCGGAGAGCCTGCAGCTCTCTGCATATGCCCCGGAGCCCTCTCGCCTCCTGTCACACGAAGCCGCCCAAGGGTGCACCGAGTTGCATCTTTTGGGTTTTTAAGCCCCGGGGCGGGCCGAGCGTTTTACGCACGGATGGTCGGCCGTTGAAAGGCGGGCAGGCGGGCGCTTGCTTCGTCCGGGGCGGCTCTCCCAGCCTCCTTTCTCCGCCTCCGGGTCCACCTCCCCCGGCTGGCCGCCAACAAGCGGGCAAGGCGGGAGAAACGGCCAGCCAAGGCGCGACGATGGCGCTGCTCTTCTCCGCTCTCCGGGTGCTGCTGGGCCTTTTCTTCGCCGTCTGCGGGGTCGTCAAGCTCACCGACCGGATCGCCGGCGATGCCCACCGGCAGCTGGTGAGTCGGGCGTCTCCGAGGCGGGAGGGAAAGCCCGTCGAGCCCCCCACGGCCCTCCAGCAGAGCCCTGATCTAGCCACCTAAGCCGAGCGGATTTGCAGGAGATCCTCTAAGGCAGGGGTCCTCCAGCTTGGCCACTTTAAGACTGGTGGACTTCAACTCCCAGAATTCCTCAGCCAGCAAAGCTGGCTGAGGAATTCTGGGAGTTGAAGTCCACCAGTCTTAAAGTGGCCAAGCTGGAGGACCCCCTGCTCTAAGGCCTGGCAGGCTGGCTCGCCAGAAATCTTTCAGGGGCTGCGCAGGGCGCGTTGGCGCGGCTCGGCAAGGCCGCTTCTCGCAGCTAAGGCGCTGCAGCTCGTCCTCGCTTGCTGGGAGGCGCCGTCCCGGTCCTTAGCTAGGGCTAAATCCCGCTAAGTAACCCAGCAGGCGGCAGAGCTTTGGGCTTACCTGTCCAGTTGCTTACCTGTCCAGGTGCGTGTTTGCAAAAGGAAAGGCGCGCAGTTTCCCTGGCGCAACCGCCCGCGCTGCTTCCAGCACGGAAGGGCTCTCTCTTCGGAGGACGCTTCCTATTCAGGCCAGCGATTCCCTTTTTTTTTTTTTTACCCTTTCCACTGCCCTGGGATTTCTTTGGCACTTTATCTGGGCTTTTTAAAAAAAATCAACAACACAAAAGCCGTATCTCTTCTCCTTCTCCTTCTTCCTCTCCTCTCCTCATTGTAGACACACAGCCATTGTAGACACACCTACCCATCCACACCCCCCCAGAGAGAGAGAGAGAGAGAGAGAGAGAGAGAGATTTGTAGCAGAGGAACTAAGAGCCTCTTGATGCAGGTGAAGAAGGAGAGTGCAAAAGTTGGCTTGAAACTCAACATTAAGAAAACCAAGATCATGGCATCCGGCCCTCTCAGTTCCTGGCAAATAGATGGGGAAGAAATGGAGGTAGTGACAGATTTTATCTTCCTGGGCTCCAAGATCACCACAGATGGGGACTGCAGCCAAGAAAATTAAAAGACGCTTGCTCCTGGGGAGGAAAGCTATGGCAAATCTAGACAGCATACTAAAAAGCAGAGACATCACCCTGCCAACAAAAGTACGTATAGTCAAGGCCATGGTTTNGTCCTAGAGGAGATCAACCCCGACTGCTCTTTAGAAGGCCAGATCCTGAAGTTGAAACTCAAGTCCTTTGGCCACCTAATGAGAAGGAAGGACTCACTGGAGAAGAGCCTAATGCTGGGAAAGATGGAGGGCAAGAGAAGAAGGGGACGACAGAGAATGAGGTGGCTGGATGGAGTCACTGAAGCAGTAGGCGTGAGCTGAAATGGACTCCAGAAGATGGTAGAGGACAGGAAGACCTGGAGGAACGTTGTCCATGGGGTCGTGATGGGTTGGACACAACTTCGCAACTAACAACAACAACAACAAGCAGATCTCAATTGGAGTTGGGGATGTTTTAAAGCTGGTTACAGTGTAATATGTCACCATATTGAATGGGTTTCATTCTGTCCCTCCTCCCCCAGGACTTTTGGCCATCAGGTTTCCTGCAATCTTCTTGCCCTGCCTCAGTTTACGAAATTAGTTGGAGGGAGGGAAGAATCGCAGAGTTCATGGGGACTGCCCTCTGTGTAAACAGTCTGTGTGTACACTCCAAATTAAATCTGGGAAGTTTCTTTGGCCTTCAGCCAGCTTTCCATTTGTAGAAGCATTTTGGCGCCCGATGTTTGAATTTGTGTAGTTGGGAGAGAGAGCATGTTGCAAGATTTTTTTGGAACAGAGAGCTGCCTGGATCTGGATCGTTCACCGAGGGTTTAGTCTTCCCACCTTTGGGAATTGTGCTGGAGCCCATCCTTAGGGAACTTCTCTCTCACCAGAATGGAACAGAGGGCTGCCTGTTTTGTTTCCCACTGGACTGGTGGAAATTACTTTGTAAACTTAAAAAAAAATGAAAATGAAAAATGGGCTGGGAGGAAGAGAGAAGCCTCTTTGGGTTAAGATGAGCCGAACGATTTTAGAAGAACAAGATTTTAAACCCACTTGCAGATCTATTGGGATTGTTGACCGTTAAGAAATAAAGAAGACCCTTTTAGAATGCATAATAGAAGGTGGAAAAGATTCAGTTGAAGCAACATGCAGGAAGTTCTTAACTTACATAAGGTGGACTGGAACTTCTATCGCTAAGAAGTTCGGTCATTGTGTCATTGTCTGGTTTCACGAGCTTTTTTGCCTCCGTTTTGAAGCGAATTACACAATGGTTAAGCAAATCTGACTTCCCCCAATTGACTTTGCTTGTGGGAAACTGGCTGGGAAGGTCTCAAATGGCCATTGCTTGAGCTTCTGGTGTGTGTGTATGTGTGTGTGTAAGTTTTGTAAATAATGCTAATTGCCAAGTGCCTGGATTGCCCTTGATACCGAGACAGCCGAAAGTGCAAAGACCTGTGATGAGTCAATTTTTTCCACATCTGTTGTAACTTTGAATGATCGCAAAACAAATGGTCACAAGTTTATTCACTTGTTCAATTTCTGTGGTCGTCCATCTCAGTCAATGACTTTGGTCAGCTTACAGTTTTTATATCAAAGACATACCACAACAGCATCAAGTAACAAGGGTGGAGGCTGCCAGAAGTGCAAGCACCAGAACTTTGTATCTCCCCCCCCTACACACACCCAAAATAGTAAAAGAGGAAGGAAAGAAGAAGGAAAATATTAAAAACATTTTGAAACCATTAAAACAGTACAGCCAATAAAAGCACACAAAAACAGCCAAATTAACTAAACGTAGGAGCCAAGGTACTTGGCCAATTAGCAATAGAGCCAGGAAACGGGGGCCCTTGACATATTCAGCCCCCCAGGCTCTGGAACATAACCAGGTATTTAGGGCCTTGTGAAAGGCTAATAGGGTTGGGGCCATTCTAATGTTCCATAGAGCAGGAGCCACTGCAGAAAAAACTCAACAATTGACGTTCTTTGTCTGGCAGAATCTGCAGATGCCCATTCCGATTGGCCTGGTTGGATGATAAGAGGCTCTTGAGAAAAGACAATCCCTTAAGTCAGGGCTGGGGAAGTATGGCCCTTTTCTGACTTGTGGACTTCAACTCTCAGAATTCCTATGCTGGCTGAGGAATTCTGGGGGTTGAAGTCCACAAATCAGAAAAGGGCCATATTTCCCCACTTCTGCCTTAGACCGAGGACTGGAGGGGGCGTGGTTTTGTGTGCTATCTGCATCCTGCAGATGGGACTTTGCTTATTTGTGCGGCTCGGTTGCCACGGCCCAGTACCACCGGTCCACAGACCCAGGGTTGGGGACCCCTGCCTTAGGCTACAGGTTGAGGGCTACTTGTATCACAGCAATGCATGAAGGAACGGTTGCTGGAATTGGGTATGTCTAGTTTAAGGAAGAGAAGAACGAGGGGGGAGATGATAGCCGTGTTCCAGGATCTCAGGGGCTGCCACAAAGAAGAGGGAGTCAAGCTATTCTCCAAGGCGCCTGAAGGCAGGACAAGAAGCAATGGGTGGAAACTGATCAAGGAGAGAAGCAACCTGGAACTAAGGAGAAACTTCCTGACAGTTAGAACAATTAACCAGTGGAACAACCTGCCTCCAGAAGCGGTGAATGCTCCAACACTGGAAGTTTTTAAGAAGAAACTGGCCAGCCATTTGTCCGAAATGGTATAGGATTTCCTCCCTGAGCAGGGGTTGGACTAGATGACCTCCAAGGTCCCTTCCAACTTTATTATTATTACTACTACTCCTACTACATTATTATTATTATTATTATTATTATTATTATTATTATTATTATTATTATTATTAATTATTACTATTATTATTATTATTAATTATTACTATTATTATTATTATTATTATTATTATTATTTTGCTTAGCCGTCCACCTTTTCTGGATTATTTGTGCCTTTACTTGCTGCTGTAAAAGTTGGCTAACCTTCTTCTGCTCCTTAGTCTTCTTTGGCGCTTAATGCTCCTTTTCCTTCCTATTCCAGAAAACCCAGTTTGTACAATTTGCAGATGTCTTCCCTTTGAAGGAGTTTGGCTATAAGCCAGAACCAGGACTGTACATGGAAACGTTGGGCTGGATGGAACTGATAGGAGGCTTCCTTTTAGCCTTCGGGCCTCAACTGCTGCAAGAAATCAGCAATTTTGTGCTTACCGTGATCATGATAGGTAAGGATAGTCCTGTTAATGAATTTCTGGCCGGGATCTGCTCCTCAACTGTTTCTAAGATTATTTCTTAGAGTCTACTGGTTTGTGGGACATTAGCGTAGGTCTCTTGCAGAAGCGTATTGAATTCCTGCCAAAAAGAGCGTTATCATTTGTTAACCCGCTGTTGATCCCCAACCATTTACAAAGAAAAACAAGAAAGTCCAGTTGCCTCATGAAAAAGCATATTTGGGACTTCCATTGTGCTGTTTAACTGACTTTAATCTAAGCTTCACCAGAATGGTCAATATCAAACCCCAAGAGTTGATGTGACTATCCAAGAGGCTAATAATAATAATGGTTGGGGGTCAATAGATAGTTGATAAATGACGGAAGAGCGGTGGAAGGGCTCAGTGGTTAAAGACCCTGAGTTTGTTAGCTGGAAAGCTGACAGCCTGGGTTTGAGATCCGAGTGCCGCATAACAGGATGAGTTCCTGTTAGTTGCCCCAGCTCCTGCTCATCATGTAGCAGTGTGAAAGCATGCAAGTGCAAGTAGATTAATAGGTACCACTTTGGTGGGAAGGTAAACAGGGTTCAGTGTACCTCAGTGTATAGCCATGCTGGCCAGATGACCATGGAAAATATCTTCAGACAATTCTGGCTCCCTCGGACGGAGATGAGCACCTTAGAGTCAGACACAACTGGACCGGGAAACCTTTACTTTTTTAAATGATTGGAGGCCAGTTGGCTTCTGTTGATCTTTTGGGGTCTTCATAGAGCTCCACACCAGTCCTTAGATCTGAAGGTGAGGTGGCTAATGATGAGATAGTGTTGCCCCATGTTAGATGGCTGGCCACCGCTGAGAATGGTGCTCTCCTCACATTATTTTCATATAATAAATGTTTGGGGGGCTGATGAACAATGTGGAACTTCATCGAGGGGTTGATGAGTTAAAGCAGGGCTGTCAAACTCAATTTCATTGAGGGCCGCATCAGCATTGCGATTGTCCTCGGGGGGGGGTTTAGGTGTGGCCAGGGTGGGCGTGGCCTACTGGGTGGGCATGGCTGGAGTGGGTGTGGCCTACTGGGTGGGCATCGTTCGCGTCAAGGGTGCCTGGGCAGGAGTGGGACAGATCTGAGGGTCTCTGGCAGAAGGGGGTGGGACCAGGGCAAGCGCCAAGGCATGGTCCACTGGAAGAGCCTGCCAAAACCCTTCCCCTGGAGCCCACCAAGCCGGATATGTGAAGTAGGCGAGGGCCATTTGCTGGCCACTTCCAGGCGATGGTGCATTTCTTCATTCTTCACAAAGGGTGACACCTCCCCAGCATGCATCCAGAGGGTGGGGCTGACGCGGCAGGGGCTGGTTCCTCGCTGTTTCCAGACGGCCTTGTGGAGCTAAGACCGAATGCGTTTCAGCATAGATGGCCACCACAAAATTGTACATTGGCTCCCGGCTGGCCTGGGCCAGGGCCAAGGCAGAGGGGGCCGTTCCCTCACTGTTTCCAGGATGGCTTCGCGGGCCACATGAAACCACGTCACGGGCCGCATCCGGCCCCCGGGCCTTGTGTTTGACATGTCTGAGTTAAAGAGTCGAGGGACCCCTGCTTCAATTGGACTGGATCTCTATCACATTTCTGATTTCCATAGGTAAAGCTGTGTTTATTTTCCTTGTATTTTGCAATTTGACAGGCAGACTATTTACCCATAAACAGAGTGAGCATGTAAAGAGAATGGAAACCAGTCCAGTTTGGGGTAACCGTTGGGAATCTTTGATTGCAGTTTGGTTTTCTAATTCTGCCTCTGCTTTCTCTGCGTGTGATGCTGCAGGTGCCATCTACACCCTCCTGGTTTTGAAAGAGCCTTTAGCCATGTGCGTACCAGCCACTGTCTCCTTGGGTCTTTTGCTCCTCCTCAACATCCGTGGAAGAGACAAGTGTGTGAAGTCAAAGTCTGAATGAGGCGAGTAGAAGGAGATCTGGAGAGATGGGAAGGATCCAAAATGAAGCTCTTGAAAGAACAGACAACATGTGTTTCCCATCCTGCTCACTGACTAATCTGATCATGTGGACTTTACAGTGTGTAATCCAGAAACGGGGTTAGATCTTTACGGTCGTGACCTATTTGGGGCCTTGCCTTAACTGCCAACTTTGCCAGTTTTCCATCCCTCTTTAGACCTGATTGGAGATCTTGTCTTCACTACAAAACCAGTTGCTCTCTCTTCGATCAGTGGATCCTTATTGTGTCCAGTTAAAGAGACAACATGGAGCAGAAGAAAATAACCACATTACAAGGGGCCGAGAATGAGGGTTGGATGGGATTGTTGTTGGGCACCAAAGAATATTGTTGACAGTAAAGAGACCCTGGAGTTCTGCAGAATGATGTAAACCAGGGGTAATCAACCTTGGCTCTTTTATGACTCGTGGACTTCAACTCCCAGAATTCTGGGAGTTGAAGTCTATGAGTCATGCTGGCTCAGGAATTCTGGGAGTTGAAGTCTATGAGTCATAAAAGAGCCAAGGTTGACTATCCCTGATGTAAACAAAGGGTTCAGATAGATCAGCGGTTCTCAACCTATGGGTCGCGACCCCATTTGGGGTCGATCGACCATTTCACGGGGGTCGCCAAGCAAGGCTGTCCGCCATTTTTTCCCCTTTTCCGGTGGGTGCCTTACCTCCCTTAAGCTGGGCCAGCTGGTGGTCGGCCTGCTCCGTCTCTGCCGCTTGCCAGCTATGCCTCGGCCGGCGCAGGGGGCGGAACCATGCATGTGCGGCGCTCCCGCAGGGCAATTCCTCGACTTACGACCGGTTTAGTCCTCGACTTACGACCGGTTTAGTCCTCGACTTACAACCGGTTTAGTCCTCGACTTACAACCGGTTTAGTCCTCGACTTACGACCGGTTGGGGGACGCGGCATTAAAAAGGTTGAGAACCACTGAGATAGATGTTGCATCAGTTGCATATTGTACTGCTTCATTTCTGGATTTTATTAACTTTGCTATCAACCCATCTTGGCCTGATCTAGATTAGGACTTATTTTTGTGGGTCGAGAAAACCTATGTTAATCACTATTCCTCATCCCTTTCCAAAGAATTAAATGTAATTCCATTTACCTGGTTAAAAACAAAACCATAGGCATCAAGCAAAGGTGCTTTTTATCATTCCAGTTTTGTTAATTGATCATGAATTTGGTGAAATAAAAGGAGAATGAATAGCTTTCTTCTAATAAGTATGGCGTGATCTTGAGCCGTTGCTATTTTTAAGACATAAATCTAGGAACGAAAAGAGAGAGGTGACAAAATCACTGGATTCTATGCCATGCGCCTTTATGATAATTTTGTAAAAATCAGTAGATTCAAATTTTATGTCCGTATTTGGAGGGCTGAAAGTTGGTTGGGGGCTTCTGACTTTTTTTTTTCTTTTTTTTTTAAATTAAGACAAGTGGAAGCGGTTCACTGCTTTGGATTCAAGACCGAAAAGATGCTCCAGAGCGGTGTTTCTCACCATTGACAACTTTTGTGTGGACTTCAATTCCCAGAATTCTGGGAATTGAAATCCACACTTCTTAAAATACTTATAAAGGAGAATATTTTTAGCTCAGGGTTGAAATGAGGGACCTTTGGTGCTCTCTGCGCTTATCAATAGATAAACACAATACATAGAGTAGTGGCCAAAATTGTGGAAACCCCACCCCCACTGCCAATCCTCAACAGAAATGCTCACAACAATAAAAACCTCGGACAGGAGGAAGAGTGCCGCTGGGCGGGCAGGCAGGCAGGTGTCTTGCTTGGCTGTGGCTTGGGGGGGGGCACTTTTTTCAGTGCCATTGTAACTTCGAACAGTCACTAAGCAAACTGTTGTAAGTCGAGGACTACCTGTACTTTATCACTTTTTTCCTTTTTTTTTTGTTTGGGTCATCAAGTTTTTGACCCCTTGCTAGGCGACTGGTGGTACTCGGATATTGCCCTATCCTAAAAGTGGTACAATGGGTGAAAAGGTTGAAAATCCCTGTTCTAGGTTTATTGGGGGAAAAAAAAATAGACCCAAGGGCTGATTTTCTGTCTCATTTTCTGCACCACTCCTCTGCCTCCCTGGGTAAGTGACATGCGGGGGAAAAAAATTCTTAAAATGCTTGGCCGATTAATCTAGGCCGATCCCCCTTCCCTCTTTTGTCCCACGCCCTCCTTGCATATCGCAGCATGCCCACGAAAGGCATTTTTTTCAGCGGCGGCTGTGGCCCAGACTTCAAGGTTCCTTTGATGCTACGCCTCTGTGAAAGCTCCCGAAGCAAATTCGATCTCTCCCTCTCTTGTCTCCTTCCTGGCCTCCTTCAGCAGCTGTTGTGCTCCGACCTTCCTGAGGCTCCATTGAGGCTTTTCTTTGTTGCCTGAGTTCAACTGCTCTCCACCAACCATCTTTGAATACAGCGGCATGATAGTGGCCCGTTCCCTGTTCTGGTAGCCGCTCTCTCTGCTCCTGCTTTGGCTTTGGTTTCAGGTTGCTCAGTCCTGCTTTTCTTCCGAGGCGAAAGGTGAGAAAGCCACAAAAGTTGTATACAGCTTGAGGGTGTCCTCCAGTGTTGCTGGGACAAGAGGGAAAGGGCTCCCTGTATAGATAAGCGTGGTTTGAACCTCAGTGAGATGACAGGACAGCAAAAGGATGTTGGGAAAGAAGTTGGGGCAGGTGGAAAAGGATGTTTGGGAGCCTTGGGCTAATTTCCGAGTACAGGCAAGGCTGGATATTATGGGTATTTGGGGATCTGTAGTTCTAATCTATTTGGAGGGCACTGTACTGGATTAGGGAAAGTTGATGTACAGATGATTCCTTGGTTCTGACTTGGGAAGGTCCTTGTCAACCTTCCAAGGTGGATCAGACCTACGAAACCAAAAGCATGCATGCTAATAACGGCACTATTTGTTATTAGAGGTTTATAGGAACAGAATCCTCTGGATCTGTTTGCCTCCCTCCCTTTATCTTCAAGAGAACTAGGGAGGTTTTGTCTGAGATGGTTACAGATCTGCCCAGGACTCAGATTTCATTTATCTGATGGTTGTCTTGGTCATGGCTCTTCCTCCTGTTCCTGTTTCTCAGAGTTAACTTTATGCACATTGTAGCCCTTGATCAAGTTATTCTGTGATTCCATCCTTGCCATCTGCCTGCCTGCCTATCTACCTCTCTCTCCCCCTCCCCATCCATCCATCCACCCATCCATCCACCCATCCATCCATCCATCCACCCACCCACCCACCATCTTTTTCATGCCCCCCTCTCTCTAAGGTTGTAAAGTAACATATACAGTACATATATAAGGAATTTGAGGATTCTGTGCAATATCTTAGCTGCTTCTAGCACTGCATGTTTTGGACAGAGAGAGCGCTGATGTTTTTCTTGGGATCTGTTGGAGCTACTCTGCCAGCTTACGATTCACAGACCCCTAAGTGCTCCTACCACCACTGGGACCATTTGGCTTTACTTTCCACATTCTCTCTAGTTTCTCCTTCAGGTGTGTGTGTGTGTGTGTGTAGCTGAGCATTTACTGGCCAGATGCCCTTCCTGATGCCATGTGGATATTTTTTGTTTGTGCCTTAGGAGAGAAACATCAGCCCTACCTAGGATTAAACCAGGGGTCTTCAAACTTGGCCCTTTTATGATTTGTGGACTTCAACTCCCAGAATTCCTCAGCCAGGTACCCTGGCTGAGGAATTCTGGGAGTTGAAGTCCACAAGTCATAAAAGGACCAAGTTTGAAGACCCCTGGATTAAACTCTAAACCTTCTGAGTGGGAGGTGAGCATCTTCACAACTAGGCCACCATGCCGCTCTCTATGCATACATACATACATATTTATATGTGTATGTGTATATTTCAGAACAGAAGAACAGAACTCCACGAGTTTAGAGTGTAGGTGCTAACATGCCACACCATCAGAGAAAGAGTGGACTATAATAAACTGTGCTGAAATTTTCAACGCCCTCCAAGTTGCTTTCCCTTGTGTTCCCTGCATGCTTCAACATTTCTTTGGTTGCATTCATACTTAACCTGGTTACCGAACTAGTTACTGGATTTGTCAGATTCACACAATGCATGCAAATTTAGCATACGTGACCCAATCTTTGTGTGCTGGATTAATATAACTATTAGGATTGTAGTTGACCTGGTTAAGTATGTTGTAGGAATACATCTGGGGTGTGGGTGGGTGGGGAGGGGGGCTGTTTCTGAGCTTTCTTCCTTGCCTGGGAAAGCCCTGGGATTTTTTGTGCTGGTCTCCCATCCAAGTTCTAACCAGATCTAACCCTGCTTAGATGTTGAGTCTGGGCAAAATCAGCTCAATGATGTAAGCTAGCCAAGTAGAACTAAACTCCATCTCCAGGAATAACTACATTCAAAGAAATACTTTCTCTGGAGATCTAACGCTGATTATTCACCTTTTGGGGCCCATTCAACTTTGCAAACTACCCTGGGTGGGTGTCCAGAATGCTTTGTTAAGCGCTTTTCTGATTTCCAGTTTTGAGTCACTGCCTTGCCCTACTTTTTCACACTCCACTGTGAGTGAAGGCTTTGCTATCAGTTCTTCTAAGATGGAAGGAAGCAAAGAGTGCTTGGATAATGAGGGAGAAGGCTGTTAGCAGACATTCCTAGAAGCATCATCTTAGATTTCAGCAAGGGGGAGAGTCGTAGAGAGAGAAAAATATGTCAGATGAGGTTTGCCTGTCAGTAATATTCTCCTTTTTTTTTTTTAAAAAAAAAATTGTCTCTCAAGTGTTCAAAGCACTGATGATGGATGCTGTTGAAAATGCTATACATGATGTTTTTCACCTGCATCCTTAATATCGAGATTTTATTTCCCCTGCCGGGCAAACTGTCATTTGTAATACAACATCTACATCGGTGGTAGACAGTGTGTTGTTTCTGCATGCAAATGCTTGAGCTTCTATCTGTCAGGCTGACTTTTTGAAAAGAAATTCTTCCTATAACCCCTCCCTACCATCTGAAATAAATATGAAGCTGCTGGGCTGGAAGTAAACC